ACAAAAGGTGAACCCAAGCCCCACCACAACGAGATGATATTGATACACATTGCTGATCATCACCACAAGCTAAGGAATTCACAGACAGTAGTCCTGACTGAATGAGGTTGTTGTTGTTGTTGTTGCTTTTTTTTTTTTTTTTTTTTCCGTTTTTTCATAACGATTGTAGGGATAGGATTAAGATCATTCAAACAACAAACAAGAAAAGAACTAAGATCATGTATGCAGTACTATGCACTGATGGGTTATCTAACTGCCTCGTGGCTGAACGATAATAGACTATTAGTTCGGACTTCGAACTGTGAAAGATCATAAGTTCATAACTCTACATGTAGTTAAATTTAAAATAATAAATGTAAACGAGTTTAAAGTTTAAACTTCAAAGAGGAAAAAAAAAAAAAAAAAAAGTTATTCCTTCCAAAGGGAGGCAATCTGACGCCCACCAGAATAGAAGCGGCCTTGCGTACTCAAGGGAAGCAATCAACGACATCAATTGTACCCCGAATTGTTCACAAGGCCGCTTCTATTCTGGAGGCATCTGAGTACATCAGAATTGTTCAGGAAGTAGCAGCAGCCACAGTTGTTGTGAAAAAGCAGGGGGGTGGAGAAGTGGTAAAAGGCTAAAAGCGCTCCCAATCGGAGAGAAAAATAGAAAAATTGGAAATGAATGCGGCTGTCGTGGGGAGAAGAATTCGGCAAGTGGTAATGAGTACATCTGATGTCAGGGACGATGGTTTCCAGAATGTTTTTTTTTTTTTTTTTTTTTTTTTTGGACCATTTCTCAATTTATGCGTGTCCTCCTTTGGCAGGGATTCATAGCCTTCTCTTCTCTGTATCGTTCTAATTTCTCGATTCATAGCTGTCTCTGGTTGCCAGCATTATTGAAACAAAATCCGGCTCTTCCTTTTTTTTAAGGAAAAAAAATAAAAAAAAAAGAAAGAATAGAGTTATCCATAAAGAGCTTCAGAAGAGAAGATGTGATCTAGCCAGTTGTGAAATCAAGTCTCACTCATTATGAAAGGTCCTTGGGGACATCCGTTCAAATTGGAACGATCCAGACAAAGAGAAGACTAGCATGGCCCCAGCGCAAGGATGACACACATAAATTAAGAAATGGTCTTTCAAAAAAAAAAAAAAAAAAAAAAAGTTTAAGAAACACAATAAAATCAACTCATTACTGCAAGAGAAGCAATCAGACGTTCTCGAAAGCGGATAAGATTACCAAAATGAGAGGTTTAGCAACAACGAGCACCGTAAAAAGGCGGGAGAAGTAAACAAAAACGAAACAAAAATCGGGGTCTCTGTAGCCTGATTACATACAGTGCTACAGACTCATAATCACGAGAGAGAGAGAGAGAGGGGGGGGAGGGGG